CAAAAGTATGGAAATATGTGGGGGTGAGTATACTGGAACTCTCCATTGGATAGACTTGCTGATGTACTGAGACTCCCCACATCATGGTGTTTAAGACAATGTCAGCCTATAGTCTTGTAAAGCTTTTGGAAGCTATTCCTCCAGGGATCTGATATGTCACCAGGTGTCCGGGTCTACATTCTGAATCAAGCTGGAGAGGTGCAGGTTATCACTACTCTCCAGCTTTGATGGCCCAGGGACTCCTGACATCACTCTCTGTCCAGTGGTTGATCATTGCCCTCTTCTCCATTCTTCCTTCCTTAGGTCACCTTTGATTGTATAAAATGCATTAATTCAGACTTTCTAATATGGTCATAAATGCATGTCATTTCTCCCTTCCCACATGATTTGCTGTTAACCAGATAAATTGGATTTGTTATGTCCTTTTGAAAAAGGGCTGTGGGTATAGGTACACAGAATGGGAAACCATTTCTGCTGAGCTGTTTTCATTTTCTTCATAAGTAATGAAGTTTGAATTTTTGAAATCATTTTAAACCAAGACTTTTCAATAGAAATTTAGTTTAGCAAGTATCGCTTTATCTACCCTATTCTCCTAACTTTGAAGAGATGTAGCATATTTCCAAACCACCTTCTTCCCTGGTGGGCTGATGGGCTTGAGGATTTTATGAGTGGCCTCAGCCAGTTACAGCAGCTGTTCCCCTTCGGAGCTGCTGGAGGTGTGGTGAGAGCAGCGGGAGGGGTGTAACGTGGTGCTTGTATGCTAGAAGCAAGTGGGGGAAGGCTTTATCTCTCTGTACTGGTCATTTTCTGAGTGCTATCTCATTAAATTATATCACTGCTTCAACACTAAATGTACTCCTCACCCACCTAAAGCTTCTGAGTTTTAGAAGAAATTTTGGAAATGGGCAACATCGAGTGCAATGGTTCTCATCCATTTTTTTTTTGTATTAGTTTCAGGTGTACAAAGTAATGTAACAGACATTTATACCCCTCACAAAGTGATAACCCCCTCCCCCAATCTACTATTCCTCTGAGATCATATATAGCTGCTATAGTTCCACTGAGTCTGTACTCCATATCCTCTGTGTGTGTGTGTGTGTATATATATATATATATATATAAACTTACATTTGACATTCATTATTATTCAGCTTCACTTCAGGTGGACACTCCAGTAATCAGGAATCTACACCATCCATGAAGTGGTCTCCCTAATAAGACAAGTGTCTATCTGATACCCTACAAAACTTTTACCAAACTATTGATTATATCCCCAAACTGGCTTTCATTCCCCATGGCAATCTTGCTGACTGTATTTTTTTTTTTTTTGTAAGCTGAGCCATCCTGCCACCTGTTGGCAGCTCAGCGGTTGCTCAGCTCAGGCTGAGAATCGAACCGCTGTTGCNAGCGACTCATGGCAGCCCAGCTCCAGGTTGAGCTGTTGTTCAGCATCTTAGCTGTAGAGGGCAGTGTCACTGGCCCTCATATGTGGGATCCGAACAAGGGACCTACGGTGTCCCAAGCCAGCTCTTAACCAATGCGCCACTCGGCCGGCCCTCATCATTACCTTTTGTGGGTCTCCCAGTGGAAGTGAGAAAGGAGATGATGAGTAAATGTAATTATTGCTGTTGGAATTGCTGATGTTACTTATCACCTACATGCTACCTCCCTAGCTTGGCTGTTCCAGTTCTGAGTCAGTGACTCGCCAGCCCCAGCACCTACTCTATAATCCCTGGTTTTCTCTTTTACTTTATAGATATGGGACCTCTACACATGGACTTTTTAAGAAGCTGGGAATCCCTGGGCCGACACCTCTGCCTTTTTTTGGAACTATTCTGGGCTACCGTAAGGTGAGTGGTATTTGGGCTTTTCATGGTTACAGATCCCAGCTGAGCTCCATCGTCAAATGACCTCCTCAGGAGGAAGTTCTGAGGTGTCACACTTTCCAGAAAGGGTATAATATGCCCCATGCAGCAGCGGGCCAGGTTTACCCCAGGGCTCTGTTGTCAGCTGTTAGGAGCCTCAGGTTTTGCCCCAATCGGACAGCAGAGCTCTCTGGCTGGTTCAGCACCGGACTTGCTGTTCCGACTTGGTGCATCATGAGAAGGATTTTCTTGCAGCCAGCTGCAGGTTCCCAGAAAGGCATAATCGTACTTAGTATTAGGTGAAAAGCATGAAGGGGGTGACTGGGAGTGCCTCATCACATTTATACGCTAGGGTCAAACTTCCTGTTCATAGCATAAGCTCCTGATACATTTTTTGTTTTCCTCCTCCTGGATACCTTTGAAACTTCAGTGTATTAGGCAGCCCAACTGTTCACCATCAGGTAATTTGTATACTTGAATTCTCTGAGAACTACAAAATCCCTGTAGTTATATCCGTGGCTCTAACTCACCCTTTGCTCCCCATGATGACTTTGGGGGACTTGAGAGCTGGAACAAGAGCTTTCTGCTTTACTTCTCTGCCCTCAGAGGAGGCACCCTATGGGTGAGTCTGAGCAGGGTGCGGGTGTAACTGAGACACGATAGGGGTTGTCTATCGACTTCAGATAGTTAACCTCTAAATAAGTTGTTTGGGTTTTTTTAAAACAAGAGAAGAATTACTTATATGAAATCACTAGAAAGGAGATTGACAAAATTATTAAACATTGAATTTAACTGAATGGAATATACTAGTTGACACGTGGACTGTGGATTTTGGTGCAGTCTTTGTGGTTGATCCGGTCCTTATCTACACCCATAAGGCCAGAAGCCTTGCATGCAGGCTGCTCTCTGCCCCAGATTTCCTTTCCCGCAGACCAGAGGCTTGTTTCTCAGATCCTAATTCTCCCAACTGAGGTCTTCAGTGCTTCTATTAGTCTAAGAACCTCCCATACGTTTTCCCTCTGAAAAAAACAATAATTTCCTTTCCACCATGCCCAGATCAACTCCTTATAGAGACTCCCCTAGACCCACATTTCTGGGACCTTCTTTTGCACAGTTATAACATCTAATATCACAGCTGAAACTTAGCAATGGGAAGATTTGTTTTTTAAGTGACAGAGATGAAAACTCAGAGCAAGTGTGTTAATTTGCTCTGTCCTGATGGAGTCGTGCCATCTCTCCATCTTTTCCTTGTTGAGCTGGAAAACTGGAAAGCAAATCCACTTAGTCATTCATGCATTCCCTCACTCAGTTTCTCTCTCAACAAACATGTCTTACATTTATTTAAATCTACTAGAATAAAAGAGGTCACTGGTG